GTTTATTAAACACTGCATACTATAGGGCTGTTACTAACTATTGGCAGAGCAGGCAGTTGACCTCTGCATTATGAAGGGCCTCCATAACTGTACCACAGTACAATATAGGTAATGGCATATGTTTCATGTTTACATTGGGCACTCCCCACCAGGTACAATATTCAGATTTTTTGCATCTTGTTTTTAAGCCCATAAATAATAATGTACTCGTTCTAGTAAATTTATATTGTAACGTACTCATTCTAATATATTTAAAAAAATATGCTGGTAGGTTATCATTGCACAAATTAACACACTCTCTACATTTAAAAAATAAAAATTAGAAGAGTTCTAAACTAATGCGCTGTCTTCTGTATCTAACGCACACACACGCTCAAGGCTGATTTATACTCGACGCGTCCGCAAGTTCGCTTAGGTGCACGCGGCAAATATGACGTCATCGCGGTGTTGGCGGAAGTTCGCTTTGAGTGCGCGCGACGTCGTTTCGCGTGGCGGTGTGCACGACATTTTTTGTAACTTTCCGCGCAGCTCCGCTTCCGAAGATGCACGAGTTCAAAGCGACTCTAGCCGAACATGCACGTCTGTGCCAGCATTTGTGTGAAACAGAAGCAGTTTGACGTCAAGTTCAGTCACACACACAGATCACGCTGCGGCCGAACTCAGACATTCAGGAACAAACTTTTTAGCGCTGCCCCGCAGTTTTTGTCAACTAAATAGCTTAATCACTCAAGAGCTACATTATCTTTCTCAACAAGGAGCTGGTTACACTGTTGTTTCTAAAGGAATTAAAGCCACAGCTTCACTGTTAATAGAGAAACGCGGCAAAACGGTGGTAATTCATACATACACAGCCCCTCTCTCTCTCTGTCTCTCTCTCTCTCTCTCTCATAAATGAACACTTGATGAATTACACTTTTCTGAGAATAGAATATTTAAGTGGCGATCGCTAAACTGCAAGCTAAAACTAAAACCGGTGTTTTCAGAAAGCAAGCTCTTTTATCCACAGTGGAGAGAGAGCGCACATGCTCATGGTTGCCAGGTTGACACATTTAGCAGATATTTCCGTATTGCACAAGTGGGAAGCTCTGTTTCGGGGATTATGTCTCTTTATATCAGGCATCCCAGTTGTGTTCCTCTGCAGCCAGATTAAACCTTGTTATAGCCTATATATTACGCTCTATTCATTATTTTTTAGAAACATCGCACTTTTCTGCTCAATTTTAAACGTTGTTCTTGTATTCAAATTAAGCGCGGTCCACTGCTGCACACGTGCCACAATATTGATACAGGGACAGCTGTATAGATACCTGTATCGTCAAATCTCTGTGACGATACATCGTCGTATCGATGTATCGAACACAGCACTAATTTAAACACATAATCACATGAAATCAGATAAAAATGAAGAGAACGCAGCATCACGGTTGTCTGAACCAATGAGCATTAAGCTGTGTCATCAGCAAGTCGTTTCCCATCATGCTTTTGCGGATGTCGTGTAACGATTAGTACACTGAGGCGAGCGTAGTTGAAGAACTGAACCCATGTGCAGTTTATTCAAAAGTAATCCAAAATACAAACATAATCTAAACAGAGACTTGACATGACTTGAACAGACTTGCCTTGGCAACATGAGGGCTACTTATACCAAACACTAAGGGTCACATGACAAGAATCAACCAATGAGCACTGAGAACCATATGACAGGACAATAACCAATGAGGAACAAGACACATGACTTGAACAACCAATCACAACATGACACATACACAGGGCAGAAATACATGAGGGCAAGGGAAGCATGACACCAACAGCATGAATCAAATTGCAAAATAAAAGACATGAAAACAAAAACATGAAACAAAACCCAAAACAGACATTACAAGTCGGTGGAGAGCAAATGCACAATCCTACACAGCTGCCTCGCCGTCGCGAGAGTTTTTTGGCACACGTCAGCATGACATCAGAGCAAGTCGGATGTAACTTGGACACTTTTCTAACCACCATGCATCTCACGGTGATCGGTTCTGCGCAGATTTTGCTCATCTCAAACAAGCCTAATGCTTGTTTTTACACCAGCGGAGCCGCGACACGTTTCAGAAGCGGCTCTCAGCACTAAAGATATGCGCCTTGCCTTTTTCTGAAAGTAAGAGTGTGTGCTCGAATATGCTCTAGAACCACTCTCGCGATACTATGATGTCATACACCGATCAGTCTGCGCAGCGCTGCTTCAAGTCGAACACACCTATTGGGTTTGTGGTGGTGGTGGTGGTGTTGTTGTTGTGCGCGCTAGGGAACGTATATCCGCCATACGTCATCGCGTCGCTATATCATTGATATCGCGAAATGACACTTTTTTTTATCATGTACAAACTTATACCAGTATTATCGTGGATGGTATGATATGACACACCCCTAGAGTGCACTATAGATCTCCTGTGGAACAATTCCACTCATTCTCTGCTATAGGAGAAGAAGTATTGTACTGTATAATTTTGTTAAATCATCTAAACCAACAACATGTATGTTAGACCCTATTCAATCTAAGCTACTAAAAGAGGTGCTTCCAGAAGTCATAGATCCTCTTCTAAATATTATGAATTCATCATTGTCATTAGGATATGTCCCAAAAACTTTCAAACTGGCTGTAATTAAGCCTCTTATTAAAAAAACACAACTTGATCCTAGAGAATTCGTTAATTACAGACCAATCTCAAATCTCCCTTTTCTGTCAATGATACAAGAAAAGGCAGTATCCTCAGAACTATGTTCCTTCTTAGAGAAAAATGGTATCTGTGAGGATTTCCAGTCAGAATTTAGACCGTATCATAGTATTGAGACTGCTCTCATCAGAGTTACAAATGGCCTGCTCTTATTATCCGATCATGGTTATATCTCTCTATTAGTGCTACCGTATCTTAGAGCTGCGTTCAACACTATTGACCACAACATTCTGTGAAATGGCTAGAGAATTATGTTGGCATTAGTGGAATTGCATTGGCTTGGTTCAAATCATTCTTATCTGACTGTGATCAATTCGTAGCAGTGAATGATCAGGTATCATATTGATCACAAGTGCAGTATGGAGTCCCACAAGACTCAGTACTAGGACCGTTGCTTTTCATGCTTTACATGTTACCCTTAGGAGTCATCATCAGGAAACATGGTGTTAGCTTTCACTGTTATGCTGATGATACTCAGCTCCATATTTCTTTGCGGCCCGACAAAGCATACCAATTTGAAAAACCAACAGAATGCATAGTTGATATAAAAAGTGGATGACTAGTAATTTCCTACTGCTAAATTCTGTTAATTATCGGACCAAAAACCTCTGCATGTAATATTCTAGAACACTGTCTAACACTTGATGGCTGCTCTGTGAATTCTTCATCATCAGTTAGGAACCTAGTGTGAACCTAGAAACCATCTGTGCTATTTGATAGCAATCTTTGCTTTGAAAGCCATGTCTCTAGCATTTGTAAAATCACATTTCTCCATCTTAAAAAATATCTAAATTACGACCTATGCTCTCAATGTCAAATGCAGAAACGTTAATTCATGCGTTCATGACCTCAAGGTTAGATTATTGTAATGCTTTATAGGGTGGTTGCTCGGCGCACTTAATAAACAAACTGCAGCTGATCCAAAATGCAGCAGCTAGAGTTTTTACTAGAACCAGGAAGTACGACCATATTAGCCCGGTTATGTCAACCCTGCACTGGCTCTCTATTAAACATTGTATACATTTTAAAATCTTGCTAATTACTTATAAAGCCCTGAATGGTTTAGCTCCTCTGTACTTGAGCGAGCTCTTATCGCATTATAGTCCTTCACGTCCACAGCGATCTCAAATCTATGGCCATTTGATTATTCATAGAATATCAAACTCAACTGTGGGTGGCAGATCCTTTTCCTATTTAGTGCCCAAAATCTGGAAATATCTACCAAACATTGTTCGGGAGGCTGACACACTCTTGTCAGTTTAAATCTACATTAAAGACCCATCTCTTTAACCTGGCTTACAGATAACACACTATCACATTTCTATAATTCAAATCCATTAAAGGATTGTTAGGCTGCATTAATTAGGTCAACCAGAACCGGGAACACTTTCCATAACACCCGATGTACTTGTTACATCCTAAGAAGAATGGCATCTATGCTAATATTAGTCTCTTTCATTCTTATTCCGAGGGCACCTTAGCCACCAGATCCAGTCTGTTTCCAGATCAGATGGCCACTGCAGTCACCCGGATCCAGTCCATATCCAGACCAGATGGTGGATCAGCACCTACGTAGAAATGACCTTGACAGCTCTGAATGTCAGCAGAGACCATGCTAAAAAGAATAAGCCCTAGAGACAGATCCCCTGCGAAGACCTCGTCACCTCGACAGCCATCGGCACAGACCACGGGAACCAGATGAGTTTTCTGCACATTTCTGACTTGTGTTGCAGCCTGGAATTAAACCACGCTATGCTGGTTTCGTTTGGCCAGAGGAGAACTGGCCCCCGACTGAGTCTGTTTTCTCCCAAGGTTTTTTTTTTCTCCATTCTGACACCGATAGAGTTTTGGTTCCTTGCCACTGTCGCCTTTGGCTTGCCTGGACGATGACATAACTGAATAAATGATGAACTGACTTTAACTGGAAAATTGAGTGATTTCTATCATCCTCTTGCATTATCGACAAACTACTTTCCTGTTTAATGCTGTAATGCTGCTTTGACACAATCTGTATTGTATAAAGCGCTATATAAATAAAGGTGACTTGACTTGACTTACATATCATGGCCTATGTTCAGGCTGACCATCAGGGCATAATGGACCAAAAACAAAATCACTGAGGAACTTATACTGTAATTAAATCCATTCTAAATCTATACCCCAATTTCAGTCAGAAACACAACTGTTATATTTAGATGTTGGTGATTTAAAAAAAAAAAAAAAAACCTTAAAAGGTGCCTATAATCCTCAAAAACAGCCTCTACAGTTGGCTACTTTTACCTGAGATTCGTGCAGATCCACCCCTGATGTAAAGGGGTGGAGCTTGGAAGGCATAGATGATGTCACTCTCTGCAATGCTGGTCAAGTCATCGCCATCAAAGAATGAGCGCTGGAAACCTGTTGTGTAGATCTCTGTCAATATTACCTAAAAGAACAGATAATTAAAAATTGAAATTATTGGAGTTATTATTATCATTAAAGATAAAGATAAAACTAAATATTTATATTTAAAACACATCTCACATTTGATGTATCAAACAATTTACAATTAATAATACCAATAATTTCTGTTACATTTTAGACATTAAATAATAACTAACAATAAAATAATCTTCTTATAAAGCATAGAATTGCATCTAAATTACAAACAAGTACCATGGTATTATTCTGAGTACCATGCAAATACCATAGCATATAATCTTTCGGTATCATGGCATATAAGTTCGACAGTATTACCATTTGACACAATCACAGTAGCAATGCAGTAGGGAAGGTGGTTTGGTCAGGTGATATATTGTGTGCAGGCATGAGGTCTGTCTGTGTGATGCTGTGTACACCTGTCACCTGATCAGGAGAGATCTTGCCCTCATCTGCCACCATCCGGCGCAGACATGCCAAAGAGCCAAAGAGAGGCACAGCGAGCCCCACTCTCAGATACCGCTGTCCTTTACTGCTAAACACCAAAGTCACACACACTGGTCTGCAGAGAGAGAAGAAAATTCATCCTTTAAGATCTAAAAGGAGCTTTTAAATTAAAAATATTACTGAAAGCAATAAAGGGCATCTAGAAATCTCAAACAATCTCTGTGAAGGGCTACAAAAGCTAGTGGGTGGGTGTGGCTTAAGCAGGTGGGTGTGGCTAAAGAATGAATCTGACTGGTCACTAAGTTACACATTTAACCCCTGTTGGTATCTATTCAAAAGCAGCTGTGTATTTTGACCGTGCAATATACACTAACGTTCAAAAGTTTGGGGTCTGTAAGATCTAATATGCTGATTTGCTTCTCAAAAAACATTTCTTATTATTATGAATGTTGAAAACAGTTGTGATGTAATATATTTTAGTGGAAACCATGATCCTTTTTTCGTGACTCAAAAGAACAGCATTTATTTGAAACAGAAATCTTTTGTAACAATATAAATGTCTTCCCTGTTACTTTTGATTAATTAAAGCCTTTTTGCTGAATAAATGTACTAATTTTGTAAAAAAAAAAAATATTACTGACCCCAAAGTTTTGAACTCTATATAGCTCTTCCTAAAGTGATGTCATCTTCTCCGAAGTGACATCATCTACTACTGTACCATTATTTATACTGTCATCTAGTTTTCCTCCACTATTACAACCCTGCTGATATATGACCTAAAGCCTGAAAACGCCCTTCTCAGACATAAACTACTGTGAATAAGGGTGGCGTTGTGGTAAATGCTGAAGGATTTGCCAGAAGAAATAAGGCAATCGGTCATGTAAAAAGTGCCACACCTCAAACAGGTTACTTTCCTTTTAACTGGTCATGTGTTCTGCCCTAAAGGAATAGTTCAACCAAAAATGAAGACTGTATCATCATGAAACCTGTACTGTATATAGCAGAATGTCCAAGCTGAAGCTAATTTTCAGTGAAGAAAACATTAGTTTCAGTCTGTTCCTCACACAAAGTTATTATATGGCTTTAGAAGACTTGGAATGTAGCGCATAAGTCTTGGTTAACTACTGGCTAAATGTGTAGGTCTATATTACCATATAAGATGCGCTTTAGGTGACCTTTATTTAAGGCTATTGTATTCATTAGGATATTGACATAAGAACTGTTTTTGTCAAGTTTCAAACTTCCTTTAAACCAATATAAAATTTCATACCGGTATTATCCCTCATGACCAGTATAACCGGTATTACCATATATCATTGCAAAGGTGGTTCATATAAACATGTACATTCAGAAATATTTTATCTGACATTATAGCGTGTGGGACAGTAGTTTTGCATTTGTGAACATGAGGGTGGTCCTTTCCTCCAAAATAAGGATTTTCCTGGCAATCCATCTGCTGCTGCTGGTTTGAATGCTTCATTGTTTTTTAGTACAGAGAGGCTAAAACTGTTAGAATACACCCACAACAAGGAAAACAATTACGCTTTTGCATGAATCAATGACTTCAAAAGGCTTTAGTTTGGTACAATTGTACTCACCTCGTCTGTCTTAGAGGTATGGGGAGGGAAATGCACAGAAAAGGATCAAACGTGTTGCTCTGCTTAAGACAATGTGGGCATGTCAGAGATGACCTGGAAAAAAAAGACAGGAAAAAAGATGGTTTCTTCCGAGTAGGCAAGGGAGGCAGTGTCTCCTCAAAATAAAACAATGCCAATATTGCAAAATATAAAATTAAAAAGTGTATAAATCACTCATTTTTCTAAAGAAACATTGTCCAACAGAGAAACCAGCAGGTAAAGTTACAGCGGGAGTCCGCGTCTCTCTTGCCTCCCCTGAGCCCATTGAGTTTTAACAGACCCCCTAAAGTATGCGGTGAGTTTGGTGGGGGGTAATTGAGATGAATGGGGGGAAATCATGTGAGAGGAGACAATGCCTCCATCGCGATATGATTGGATCTGACTTGTTATGTTAGGCTGTGATTGGTTCATGCGATAAATCCCGCCTCTTGTGTTCGTGCACATTCTGCATTCGTGAATCGGTCTGAATGAACAATATGGCATTAATGGGAAGACTCATTTAAAAAAGTAAGTAAACAACTCACACACTTAGATAAATAATCACTTTGTTACATCAAAATGAGACTTAATATGGCCTGAAAACATGATGTGTGGGAGTTTTTAGTGAGTAATCAGCTTGGTGAAATTTAAAGTAATTCTCTGTCTGTGACCAATATTTACCGAGCTTTGGTGACTGATGAATCGAATAATTCAAAAACAGTTAAAAGTTAACTATTAAAAAGAATAAAATATATTGTTTAAATTGTTACTGCCTTCAGATATTATTTTGGAATAAATATAAAATGCTTAAAAACACTAACTCGATGAGATTCATACTTGGTTTAATAGAATATTGATTACATTGTTAATGTAAAAATATAAAATAGAATCGTTTTTTGTTGTTGTTTTTTCTGGTAGTGTAAGTAATGTTTATTTAACCAAGAACATGTGACTGGGACAGGAATTTACATTTGATTTTTTTTTTTTTAAAAGGACTTTGCCTCCTCATTTCAGAACACCACCACACACCACACACACACACACACACACACACACACACACACATATATATATATATATATATACATACAATATTACATAATAAACAATCAAGCTATTAGCCACTGTATTGCTTGAATGAGCCTCAAGGGATGTTCAGAGGAAGTGATGTCACAGGGAAGAGGAAGCACACAACATCTCTTGGGAAGAATTATTGTTGTAGCTACGGAAACTGATGCTCACAAAATCACAATTGCAGTTTTTTGCATCATCCTTGCCACTCATTTACAGAATGATTTCAAACTCACTACATAGACTTGTTCAGAACCTGTATGGCTTTGATGATGAAGCATCTATCTATCTATCTATCTATCTATCTGTCTGTCTGTCTGTCTATCTATCTATCTCTGTCTGTCTGTCTGTCTGTCTGTCTGTCTGTCTATCTGTTTGTCTGTCTATAATTAAGGTACATTTTAATATACAGTTTATCTACAGTTAAATCTATTCTTCTTAGAGTATCTACAACACTCATAAATACAAATGTTTTTTTAATTTAAACAATTCATGTTCTCCCTGCTGGCACTTGCCATGTCAGTGAAGTGGAGACACAAATAAAGAGAGGTGGCTCGAGATATTTTTAGTGTTAAGGAAAGCCCTGTTCATCTCCAGCAGCTGTCAGAGTCTTATGTGGAGACTTCAGCATTTTAACTCTGAGCTCTTCGGGCTGCAGTTCGCCCACATGTCTTACTACTGAAGACAAACAATGCAGCAGCAGCGCTCCACTTACACAGAATAAGACAACCTGATCCAAGTCAGCGCGGATAGTAAAATTGCAGGTATTAGAACCCAAATGATCTCAGTCACTATAATTTCAAATCTTGTGTTGTTGCTGTCATCAAAAAGAAACAATGCATTGAGCCAGAAATTAGATGAGAATGTAGCAGATGATACTAAAAGCAAAAAGCTATTCCATTGCCAGATGATGAGATCATTTTTATAATAAACACATTTAAACAATTCTTAAAAGGGGTGAGCATACACAGACTTTTAAAATGACTGTTTTAGGGGGAGCATAAAAGTAATCTGATAATCACAATCCTAAACTATAGTTTGTAGATTGTGTTTGGTTCACTAAAAGAGTCATTCTTTAGGGAATCGGTTGGACTACATTGTTTGAGTTGTATAAAAGATCCGTCTCACTAGAGGCATTCATTTGGGAGTTAGACTATACTGGTCGTTCTGTTTCTGCATATTAGCGTACTATACTTATACCATATATTTCCATGGCAGAAATACTACGAGTAGTATGCTAGTATGTGGTTCCAAATTGAGCATGTATGCTTGATTCACTAAAAAGATTCAGCACATAACAGTCATCGCTGTATGTTTCGTCTGTCATTCAGTACGCTGTACCGTTGACATCGGTAGAAGAACGCAAGAACAAGAAGCATTAACTAGGGATGTAACAATTCAGCCAACTCACGATTCGATTCGATTCACGATTTTGATTTCACGATTCGATTCACACTATTCATATAAACAAACTAAGGCTTTGTCTGTGCTGTTTCCATTTAAAATTAGAGGCAACACTGCATTTTAATCATGATCCAAACAAAGATGCTGCATACATGCAACATGAGCAGTTTAATCTCACATTAATCTCAAGATCTAAATTACATTGTACAATTTTGAAATCTGAAGCAAAAACAGAATGGTTTGACTTCAGTTTTGTGAAACTATGCATAAAAAATATCTGCATGAAACAGAAACAGCAGACGAGCTGAATGAGACGCAGATTCACTCTCTGCCAGCAGGTGGCGCTTAAAGCGTTTCCTTGGTTTCCGCTGTAAACAAAGCAGCTCTGCACAGTGCACTTATGAACTATAATGCATTATACAGAGGCAAGAGGAAAAGAAAAAATACCACCGAAAGACAGTAAGTTCCCCTCAAACATACATTCATATACCCTAATTGAATCGCGATTTGTTTAGCATCTCAACCGATTTGAATCGTCACATATTTAAATCGATTTTCAACCAGCTCGCGGTTAATCGTTACATCCCTAGCATTAACGGAATCCAATGTCATTGTTTTTTCTGTATTTTTAATAGGGCTGAATAAGAACCGTTTCTCGATTCTCCAACACTATCTGCCACTGTATTTGCCAAATCCCATCTTCTAAGCAGAACATGAACATACCATGTCTCAAAATAACTGAGTGCTCCATTACAGATGAAGAATATGCAAATATGTTTAATTAATACAAAGTGGCCTATGATAATAAACTTCCCAGACAAAGAGGTCATTAAATGGATTATTCATCTCAAGACACCGTTAACACATATAAACAAACAAAGATAATTTCCCAAGTGCATCTTGCATTATCAGGCAACAATTTGTAACATTTGAATCACTTTGACTCGTTAATAGAGAATCAACTTTACTAATATCAACGCAATAAAAACTCCACCAACCCATCAATATATATATATATATATATATATATATATATATGTGTGTGACCCTGGACCACAAAACCAGTTTTAAGTCGCTTGGGTATATTTTTAGCAATAGCCTAAAAATACATTGTATGGCTCAAAAGGATCAATTTTTCTTTTATGCCAAAAATCATTAGGATATTAAGTAAAGATCATGTTCCATGAAGATATTTTGTAAATTTCCTACCGCAAATGTATCAAAACTTATGTTTTGATTAGTAATATGCATTGCTAAGAACTTCATTTGGACAACTTTAAAGGAGATTTTCCTCAATATTTGGATTTTTTTTTTTTTGCACCCTCAGATTCCAGATATTCAAATAGTTTTATCTCGGCCAAATATTGTCCTATCCTAACAAACCATACATCAATGATGATGTAGAATTTCAAAAAATTTTCACTTATGACTGGTTTTGTGGTCCGGGGTTATTATTATATATTATATATAATTAAATATATAATTAAAGACATATATATAATTATACTATAATTATAGACAAAGAAATATTTAATTTAATTTATAATTTATAATTTAAAGACAGTAGCCTGTCTTTAATTGCCATTCTTTGTAAATTGTTGTTTGCATTGCACAGATACATCAAGCATGTTTATTTCTTTGAACATAGAATATATTTCTGTGTAACGGAGTATAGCGTACTGTTTACTGCATGCTGTAAAGTATATAATGTGTAAACCTCCCCTAAAACCTAAAAAAATTGTTTTAGTATTCAACAGGGCAAAACAGTTACAAAATATATACATATATATATCATCTAATAGATATGCCTCTTAAAATTTACAAAAAAAACAAACAAATCAGCCATATAGGCTTAACATTACATCAGTTATCTTTTTCAATAACAGAGATGCCTTTACTGTTTACTGTTATTCTTTGTAGAAAAAAATCATTTAAAAAATGTGTAAAACAGTCTAATACTTGGTACAACTGACATATATTTGACTTTATGTACAGTATGTGATATTTTATAAACAGAGGACAGATGGACAGAGGACAGATACACTTTTTCTTTAGTCAAGAACTTTTCAATATACTGTACATTATTACATTTTTTATCCCTTATGTCAGTGACCCCAGTAGTAAGACCTGGAAGACAGCCATTTACCGGTTTACAATTACAGATTAATTTTTTTAGACACATTCATTTAAACATTATGTGATTTAGATTGCATTACGCAACTGCAAAGTTTGTCACATAACCTCATCACATTGCATGCTTAATTTAACAAATGCCATTAATAAATGCGTATCATTTTGGAAATATAAAGTGTTATATTTAGCATTTTTAGCTGAAATTTGTGTAAACAATTTTAACTCTTGGCAATCAAATAATGAGCCAGGAAAGAGATTTAAAAATGATTTGAAATAATTGTTATTATTTAATTATTTATATTGTTTCCTGTTCACTGGTCACACTGTTCACTGAAAGGTCGGCTTGTGTCAACTGCATTGTGGGCTATAATACCCAGTGCAGTGTGCTCTGTTGTATACTGCTCATTGTAGCAAATTTTAGTGTAAGTAGTATCATACCATACTGTAATATTTGTTTTTTTGTATTG